TCATATTCTAGCCAACCCTGTTCTTTCCTACAAGTAGTCTTTCATGAAAAATAAAAGAAGTTTTTTCTTTCTGTTTTTCTTTTGGTGCCTCTTTCTGTGCTTTGCATTGGTAACTTGCAAGAAGACAAGCTGCTTGGGTAGAAGTTCCTCAAAAACCTGCTCTTTAGCAAGCCTCTAAGCAAACCAGGGCATCTCACCGGTGAAACCAAGGGCAGCGCTTACGACCAGTGCATCCAGGAGCACTCCCGTTTCTGTCTGCCCGGCTCATCTCCCTTTCAAACCGTTCTGGCACTTTCCCTTCATCCCTCACAGGACGCTGCCGACAGCCCTGGCAAGTCTCCCCCGAAAGCCAAGGGCCGCTCTGCTCCCCTCCTCTGCGGCTATTGGCCCACCGTGCCTGTCCTCCGGGTTTATCTCAGCTCTACCCCCGGTTTTGTCACTGTATCCTTCAATCCCCTCTCTCCCCATAAAAGTGTCTAGCTGTCTCTTAAACTCACTTTACCATTTGCTTCTTTGACCTCGCTTGGCAACTTATCCTTGTGTTTATTATTTGAGGTGGAATAGTTCTGGCTACATTCCTGGTTTTACTCTTAATTGTCTAATTTTTAGAATGGTGTCAGCGGGGTTGGGATTTGGGGTTGGGTTCTTTTTTACCTCATCGCTCTTGTGACCAGGTCTTCTGTTTCATTAGGCTCCTTCGTGTCATCAGGACTTCCAATAACTAAAAGAATCCTAATGAATCTTTTATTGGATCTTCCCAAATATTGCAGCGGGGCTTTCTTGTCCATTAGTGCCATTCTGAACTGCACGCACTGTCTTTAATTGCTTTTTTGTTAATTGGAGGGGAGGGAGGGGGGAGGAGGATTTTCCCCAAGCACGGAAGAGTTCCCCAGCTGAGAAGCTGAGTGGTTCTCCCTGCCCGTGCTTGCCCCAGAGGGAAGGGACAAACAGGGCTCGAGCAGGACCGAGCAGCAGAACTTTTGCACGTCCTCCGGCGGCACGCCTCTGCCTGCCTTTGCACACCCACCTCACACCAGGTCCAGGCCGCTCTGAGGTGTGGGGCTGCAGGCGCCTCCTCGGAGCCCCTCGATCTACTCCAGAGCCTTGTCGGGCTTCTGGACAAGGTGCTGGGAGCAGCTTGCTTACCATATTGGATTTGCCGTCAGGTCACGTTGATGATGGGAAAAGACTGCCCATGACAGGGTCTTCTCAGTGCCTGTCTGGGAAGGGGAAGGAGGGAGAAACACTGGTTCAAGGCACCTACCTGCACCTTCAGGAACTGCTCCCAGTTGCTTAAGGTTGGTTGCTGGAGCGGTGAAATGAATTCTACTGACATCAACAGATAGGCCTGCTTGGAGTGGCTTCTAAAATGAACAACTCGCCTAACCCACCACGGAGAGAGAAGCAAGAGCTACTTCTTTGCAAGGCCCCTGCTTCCCGTACATGAATCGGCACCGGTCCGAAGGACGGGTGCCTTCGGGCTGGCTGCCTACCTGCAGCAAGGAAACGTCTTTGTACCTTCTGTGCCGTCAGTACAGTCCGTGCCCTTAAAGAAAATGACATGCACCAAGAGTATGGTCACGTGGCTACAATTTAGGCACGTTGGCTCTCAGGTTTTCCTAAAGTAGAAGGGGCGCTTTGCTGGATTCACCTACCTTGAAAAAAATTGGTGCAAGTGAACCCTTGAAGCTCAGCTCACACCATCAGAGAGAGAAGACATCACGTTCCCTTTCCTACCCAACACATCTCGTACATGATGAAGTGACAAGAAAAAGAAGAAGCGTTACTACATAATTAGCATTCTCCATTCTGGGGGGCTACGGAAGCCACAGGACAGGAACAGTATGCCAATCGCAGTAAGACATTCACCATCAGCCAAAATAACATCGATCACTATTTTCAGTTTAAGAACAGAGGGCAGAGGCAAAAAAGATTTCCTCAATTAATTGTGGGATTGAAAATTTTCCAGAGAGCTAAGGATACTTGTAAGATACAGTGGAGTGCCACCCCCTCATCTTTCCTATGGAGGTCAAGCTCAGAGACTCGGCCTGCTGCGCGGTTTCTGGGTGCCGCAAAATGAGCAATTGCATGCTGCAAGAACCAGCGTCGGGGGGCTGCTTCTGAGAAATTCGTGTGGTAAAGCACTTCAGTAAAGGTGGCTTACCTTGCTGACAGAACCTTGAAAACAGGGAAATGAAACGGAGAGACATAAAATGCCTCTCATGACAAAGACTGTAAAATAACTAGGAATAAAAATTTTAAAAAAATCTTGTAAACATTTACCATCGTCTTCACTGTACTCGGCAGGTCGGGGACGTAATGACCGTCAAACAACAGAGTAGCAATAAGTACTTTCGTTGAAAAAGGGGCGACAGCAAAACCAAAAGGACACGCTCTGTCCCTCATCAACCCGTGCTTCATTTTCTGTAGCCACCCACCATTAGTCTCTGGCGCGCGATTTAAAAGCAGCCAGACCATGGCTGTAGCTATTTGCAGGTCACTGGAAGCCTGGCCTGTGCTGCAGTGGAGTTTTGGTTGTATTTCACAAAAGATAGTTTTAGTTATGTTTGACTAATGCAGGCACAACTGGAGGCTGATTTTTCTTTTTTTGGCTTTTAGGATAAACACTCGTGGCAGCTCTCTATTTTGGGTGCAGACTGAAAAACAGATTGTTTTGTAGTTGCAGAAGAGTGCTGGGTAAATCAGAGGACGTTGTTATTGCGACTGAACTCTTCTCTCAAGAAAGCACGAGGAGTTGCTTTATTTTTTAATTCTGTGCAGTTTTATGTATTTATTCGCTCCAAATATTTGATGTTTGCCACACTTGTTATGAGTTTCTCCAGAGAGATGCTGTCTTTTGGCAGCAAAAGACAAAGTTGACTGATACAAATGAGTCGCAGTACCCCAACAGTAATTAACAGTGATGCAATACCCATGCGAAAAAGAGGACTTGAAGAATTAACTGTTGAGTTTTCTTGACGATGCAGCTGCACTTTAAGAGAGAAAGCTCAACCCATCATAGAACTCCATTGTGTACATTAGAGAAAAAAGCTTGGCAAGATACATTAAAGATTTTTGCTAAAGAGATACAAATATTTTGCAAGGTCAAAGGGCGCTGAGGCAGGCTGTACTTACTTCCAAAGAAAAGTAGGCAGTATGACAAAGAAACAGTAATATTTTTTTATCTTCATTTTCACACTTCATCATCTCGGAAAGACTGTCTTTTTCAACCTGCT